GTTTTTTAGTTGCGAACTTGCATTTTGATGCGTTAATTGTAAGACCGGCCTCTTTTAATAATTTAAAAACCTCTTCTAAGTCTTTAATATGTTGTTCCAACGTACTACTCGTTATAATTATATCATCTAGATAGATTAAAGTCGATTTTCCTAGGACAGGCTTTAGAACAATGTCCATAGCTCTCTGGAATATTGACGGGCCCCACACAACCCAAAAGGCATGCGTAAAAATGCATAAGTGCCCGATTTTGTTATAAACGCGGTTTTATGTATGCCTTCGGGTCTGATAGCTATTTGATAGTAGCCAGACGTGAAGTCCAACGTAGTCATGTATCTCGTAGACTTAATCTTTCTAATAATTTCCTCTATAACCGGCAAAGGGTAAACTGGGAACTTAGTAACACTATTAAGCTTTCTGTAATCGATAGCAAACCTATAAAACCTTTTATCCGAAGGAGGAAACTCATTCTTTTTCTTACATAGTACGACTGGTCTCGCGTACTGACTATTTATGGGCGTTATTATCTGGTTCTTTAACATCTCCTGAATATGTTCTTCGATGATTACGCCTTTTTGTTTATCATAACGATATGGTTTAGTCCTACAAGGTTTTTCGGCAGTTAACTGTATCTGATGCGTAACTATTTGACAACTACCAGGCTTTTCTGAAAACAAGTTAGAAAAATTACTCACCACTTGCTGGATGGCTTGACTTTCATGGTCATTCAAATGGCTAAGGTCAACTTGCGGTTGTTCCACAGGTTCCGCCACCCTCTGGTCCATCTCCAGCACAACAGAACTGTCTTGAAAATTCAATTTGGCCCTCGCGGCCCTTAAAAACTCCATACCTAAAATAAGAGGATTTTGCAGACTCTTCACTACAAAAATTAATACTTTGAGGCTTTCCTCTTTTACCTGTATGTTTAATGATAATTTCCCGATGCAGTGACAGGTTTTTCCTTGCGCCGCTATAATTTCGATATTTTTGGTTTTAAATAATCGTAACCTATAAAAATTCTTTTTGAAGAATGTTTCGCTCATAAAATTACCTTCTGCTCCTGTATCGATGAGGGCTTCTACTGGTACATCGCCAACCAGGACTAGTATAATTGGTAGATGTGAGTTCTTTACGATGACCGTATTTAAATGTCTTTTTGAGGGTTTTTTTTAAAACTTCCGGGGTCTGGACCCTCGCTTTCACAGGCCCCTCTACTCGTTTAAAGCTTTCAGTTCAACTTCTGCCTTCTGGGTACGCGGATGTTTATTTTCGAATTTCCTTTTTGGGCCTTGACCTTCGAGGTTCGATGAGTTAGCTTGATAGCTCTTTCCCCCATAAGAGCGGTTTGCATTTCTGGTTTGCTCATTTGAAGATTGCCTTCGGGTACTTTGAGAATACGATGGCCTCTAGCTTTTTCCGCTATTCTGCGATTTTGAAACTTCACCGCCAATTCGAAGAGCTCCTGCAATGTGCTTGGGTTTCTAATTTCGAAGTAGTCTTGAACAGCAGGTAACAATCTTGGTAAGATTATTTCAATAATCTACGCGTCGGGTTTCTTCCCATACAGCATATCCGTCAGCTTAATTTTTCGCAGAATAAAGTCCGTCAAAACTTCTATATCCCGTTGATAGAAACTATATAGTTGATAGAAACTATATAGCCTTGCTCGAACTTTCACTATGGGGAAGGCCTTTACTAACGATTTTTTGAAATTTTCAAATGTATATGTCTGGCTTCCAAATTCCCCTAATAAAAATTTGCCTATATTCTTCCACCATAGCGCGGCCTGTCCTCTTAGTGCAGATGTGGCGATGGCAACTTTTGTCTTTCAGGCACAGGGTAGAGCTGAAAGTGATTTTCTAGGCCTTCTAGAAATATTCGCCACCTGAATTTTTTCCGTCGAAATTGACGTTTGGCTTGATTGACGCTCTCTCAAAGTCTGGACCAGGTATCCAAATCCTTCCAATTGGCTTACCATTTCTTGGTGTTGTCCCGCGGCTTCCATCCGATTTTCGGCCATTTCAGTTCGATAAGTGTTTCGTGCGCCAATGTAGACGTTGCGCGCCTTCCAACCTGCACGCAACCAAGAGGTGACTGTTGAAACTGGAAAATAGACAGAGTCTTGCTAAGGGTTTAAGTCCCTTTTTATTCAACTTAAGAAATTACAATTGCGTGCTCTTGACGCTCACAAACTACGCCGACCCGGCGGTAAAATAAAAATAAGAACCTGAAAAGAAATAATAACAAGACTCTAACTACCAGGCTCTCTAAACGTAACTAACCTCACCGCGTTTTACAATACCGCTGCTAATTGAGCAAACTTTGAATATCACGTTGAACGATTAACAATTCTCCGAGGGAAGCACACAGGCCGAAACGCGGGGTTCTTCAATTTCTGGCTACCTACCTCCGCGCTCGTGAAGTAAGAACAGCACACCTCGAACTCGTTTCCATTCTATTTAACTCAGAATACTTCCGCTGATAATTTGAATCCTTGCGCGTTCTACTGAAATTTACATACTCTGGCATTGGCAGTTCCAGGGGAAAGTAAGGCTTGACAGGAAAGATAGTTTAAACTTAAAATAAATGTTAGTTAAAATAAATATAAACCCTACATTTGCCGCTGCCAGAGCAGAGCTCTTTGAGAATCCTTTCCCTTAGTTTCCAGGTTGGGTTTGCTAGTTTGTTTAATTTATTTATAATTTTGCTTGTCTTCTCCCGGACTTCTGTCAAGTGGGGGATCCAAGTTAATCTTTTGTCTAGAGTAAACTCCAGATATTTGAGGGTGTCCTGTCTTCTTAGTGGGGTGCCCTGCCATTTGATTCTTGGATTGTTGGATTCTATTTTATGGCCTTTCGGGAACATGAGCATCTGTGTTTTTTCTATACTAAATTTTAGTTTGTATTGTATGCTTCATTTTGTTAGTTTTTCTAGGGCGGTGTGCGCCTTTTTCTCAATTATTTTCCGGTTGCCCCCTGCTATGACCAGGATGAAATCGTCCGCGTAAGCTTATATTTTTACGTCATCCTCAAAGTGAATCTTGAGAGCGGAATCCGCTATGATATTCCACAGTATTGGTCCTATGTTAGACCCCTGGGGGGGCTCCTTTAAAATTCTGTTTTCTTATTGAGACTCCGCCCCTTTATAGACTACGCTTCCGTTGTTCAAGTAGCTGTCTAAAAGTTTATATAGATTCTGGGGGCATTTTAGTTCGGCAAGTCTATGTTTGACTGCTGGCCACCAGAGTTGGTTGAAGGCCGATGCTACGTCTAATGATATCACGCAGGTATGTTTGTTCTCATTTTTATTCTTGGTTATTAGCTTTGTTAAGTTATTGACTGCATCTGTTGTGCTTTTTCCTTTGGTGAACCCGAATTGGTCCACGCTGAGTAGATTATTAGAGTTTAGGAAATGGGTGAGTCGTTGCGTGAGCAATTTGTCTAGGAGTTTCCCCCATGCCGACAATAGGCATATTGGCCTATAAGCATTTGGTCTATTCTTGGGTTTGCCCTCTTTGTGAAATAGAACTAGTTCTGCGATTTTCCATTTTGTGGGGAAGTAACCTATTTCCAAACATTTGTTTAGTAGGAACAGAAGTTTATTGTCCCCTGCGTTATTTAGTTCTTGTATGAAGTCTATTGTTAGGTCATCTATGCCCGGGGCTTTGCCTCTTTTAATTGAGGCCATTTTGTTTTCTAATTCGTTCATAGTGAACGGGATGTCATTGTCCGTAGCTGGTGTTTGTAAGTTTTCTTTTAATTGAATGTGATTCTCCATGTCGTCCGAGGTATCCTCTGGGGGAAAGTGGAACTTTATTATCTCTTCTATTGTTTCTTCTGTATTTCTAGTTTGGGTGCCGTCTGTTTTGTCTACAACGCTAAGTTGTAGTTTGTTATTTAAGTTGCCCTTCGCTATGTCGAAGTGAGTACCGAACGGGGAGTTCACTGTTATCCTTTCCCAGAAGTTATCCCAGGATCTTCTTTTTTCCTTGTGCAATATCTTTTTATAGGTTGCCGCTTCTTTATTGTATTTGCGCCTATTGTGACTTCTTTCTTCCCCTTGTGTTTTTTGGTATCGTCGTCTTAAAGCCCTTAGCTTTCTTCTTTGTTGTCCTAACTCTGGGGTCCACCATGGGCGGTTCTTTTGGGGATGGTTATTCCTAGAAGTCTTAATTTTTGTCTCCTTAAAAATTTCGTGGAGGAGATTTGTAGTCTGCTCTATATGATTGTCTATGTCATCCTCTGTGTTGGGATCATTGATATCTTTATACCTTTGATAAAGTTTTTGGCGAAATGATAACCAATCCACCTTCGTCATACTCATTTTATGTTTACGTTCTGTTACGATTTTGTAATGTACGATTTCGAACGTGATATTATTATGATAACTGAGGTTTATGTCGTCATCTATTGTCCAGTTGTCGATCCTTAGTGGGCTGTATGTTTTTGCTAGGGTTAAATCAACCCACGAGTTCCCTCTTGGGCCTGCGAAGGTTGGGATTTCGTAGTTGTCATTAATGACTGTTAACCCTGTTGTTGCTATTAGTTCGCATACTTTGATCCCTCTTGGGTCTGTGTGTTGGGGCCCCCATAGTGGGCTTTTCGCATTAAAGTCTCCACAGATTATGATATTTTCATCTTTATAGTTTTTGGTTAAATTTTCTAAGTCCAACAGAATTGGTTCTATGTCCTGGGATGGGGGACAGTAAACCGAGACTATGATTATATTTTGTTTTTGCTCTATTCGTAGCGCAACTACGAATGGTGTGCTCTTTATTTCTAATGCTGCTATGTTTGGATCGTTTATGATAACTGCTGTTTTCGCATCTGTTTTTGAATAAAATTTTCGGTAACGTGGCGGTATTCCATACATTTTGTTATGCACCATGTATGGCTCTTGTATGCATGCTATGCTTATTTTGTTATCCTTATTATCTAATTTTGCTCTTAACTCTTCTGTTGCACCCCTTGAGTGCTTAACGTTTATTTGGAGTATTTGAGTCCTATCTATAGTTTATTCTTTGGGTTAATAGTCTTAATTCTCTATAATAGCATGGGCAGTCCTTACTTCTAGTATCGTGTTTAGTATTGTGACACGTGTGATAACGGTCATTGGCTTTCGTGCAATTTGAACATGTTTTCTCCTTTTTGGGGCAGTCCTTAGCCTCGTGTTTTCCTGATCCGCATCCGGCGCAGATTTTCTCTTTTTGGCAGTTTTTTGCATTGTGGTTAAATCCTAAGCATTTTGAGCATTGTGTAACTTTAATGTATTCGCACACATTGTTTCTAGTCCATTGTAGGTTAACTTTCTTTTGGCGCATCATGCGTTGGTATGTCTCCGGGTCTGTGGTTATAACCCAGTGGTTTCCGAATCTTGCCTTCATCGGGTAAAGGACTTCTGTGTTACTCTCTTCGAACCCTGTGTTTTGGGATTTTATTAATCTCTTTAGTTTTTCCTTGGTTATGTCTTCTTTGACATTATAAATTATTATTCGGGGATTTAGTTTTTGCGGCTTTCTAGTGTCGACGCTATCCTTTAATTTTCTGTTTTCTTTTATTGCCTCTTCGATTATCTTGAGGTCTTCTTTCTTTGTCGTTTCTATCAAAACCCCGCCTTTACTTATCTTCTTTACGTTTTTTATACCGACTTTTAACTTCCCTGGGTTAATGTACTTCGTTAATTGTTCTTTAACTTCTTCTGAAGTCTGTTCAGTGTCTTCTTTCGGATACACTAACAACACATGATCGTCTCGTTTTCGAGATCGCGATCTTTTTGAATTTGATCTTAATCTGACATTATTGTCTTGATTTACATTTCTATTTCTACTTGTTGCACTAACGTAACTTTGAGTTTCTGTAGCAATTAGTCCTTGGACATAGTCCTCTATATTTTTAGTTGCTTCTAATTCACCTTCTAGTTTAGCTATGTATACACTTTGCTTAGTTAAAACAAATTCACAAAAAATCTCTTTATATCCTTTCCTACTTTCTTAGGAATATCTTCGTGATTTAATAGTCCATTTAGATCATTCAGGCAATTATGTGCCTCCTGCAAGTTAACAGCTGGGTCAGCCGCGGAGTCATGCTCCGGGGTCTGCCGTGTGCCTTTCTGAGTGTGAACCCTATCTGTTGGTGAAACGTTCATCGCCAGACACTCCTTTGATCATCGGAGGTTTCTATCTGACTTTCTTGCCCCGTGTTTATCGTTCGTTCCATCTCACCTTGGCTTGTAATTGGGCGTGAGACGAAGTGATGGGAATATGCCCTAACTATGGGACCACTGCATGAGTCGTTAAGGACCCGATTTACGCAGTGGCTGCTGTTCGCAAGTCCGGTACCCTGGGGTTCTCACCGGACCTGCTACTTAGCGAGTGGAAATACGTTAGACCCTCTTTCGAGGGAGCCCCCAGACCACGGCAAGGTCTATTTCCAAACGGGAATGCGCATTGCAAATGACCGCCAGATGACCACGTTTAAACTCAGATAGTACTGGACGGAATAAAAGGGTAAACAAACATTTCAGAAACATTATTTTAATTTACGCGACAATATTTTTACTGTTAGTAAGATATAAATGTGTAAGGTTATGAAGACTGCAATTTATGCAATTTCATTTCACGGATGAGTTACCCAGACATTCTAAATAACCCAATAGATGTCATATCATTTTTTTGAAAGTGTAGCATTGCTAAAAATATGAAACCTAAATCTCATTCAAAGATGAAAAACAAATCAACAGTAAATGTTTTATCCAAAATATTGCTATCCAAAATATTGTATCAATGACTAGCCAGTAATCAGCTTTTAGCATGATCCATATCTGAAAAAATACAAAACACTAACGAGAGTTCACATAGCGACATTTGGAAGAACTGCCCGAAGGAAACATTTGTATTGAAAACAGACTTGAAATTGCTGTTATCACAGCAATTAGTGACTTCAATTTTGAGTGTTTAAATACTTTGGGTATGGAACATAAAGATATAAATTCATGTTCAATATCTATTGGACAGAGGCAAGATAAATGTCGTATACATCAAAGCAAAAAGAGGAGTTCGACTGGATACAAGAAAAGATGAATTACCGAAAAAACTATGTAAGGTAGGTAAACATAATGAAAACGTAAATTAGGAAGGGGAAAGTATGATGCAGGACGTTTTTAAAGTGATTCTTAGTTTTAAAAAAAAAAGTATTTTGATGAATTTAGTGAAAGTTTTCGAGAAAATTTCTAAAATAATATTAAGTATTTCTTGCCATTCTACGATTTTATTAGTAAAAACATTCTTTATGCATACGTAAAATAATGTTAAACTATTTTATATTAAATAAAATTATATATTAGGACATGGTAAGAAGTAAATATTATAGGTAAGCGTAAAAATATTCTTAAAATGTATTTTTCTCACAATGAAATTTTCGCGATTATAACATCTTCAAAATGCTCCATGCGCTTTATTTTATGTTCAAAATGACTGTATTTTCTAATTTAGATTCCCATTTATATATGTAACAAAAATTAGAATGCATTTGTGAATGCGACTTCATTAAAAGTCCAATTAAAGTGTATTAAAGTGGGAAATTTTGTCCAAAATTCAGGTATATGCGAAAGAAATATTAATTAAAAACTAACATTTTATGCAATTCACTAATTGATACCAAGTTGTGTTTGCATTTTTTATAAAAATAAAGCAAAAATAACAAGAAACGGAAAAAAAATTAAGTCGCATGGAGCATTTTGAAAAAATTTGAAAAATTCAAAAGAAATTTGAAAAAAAAATTAAATTGTAATGATCCAGAAATTTTTTTCAAAGATATTTGATATAATTATAGTAAAATATACATGCATGCAAAATTTCATAATTCTATGACAATAATTAAAAAAAGTATTTGAACGTCCACTGTCCCCATAAATGTTTCAAAATGTAGCTCTTGTCAAACGTCTATTGATTTCCTAGGTTTTCACTTTAGTGAAAACGGAATTGAACCTCTTCCCGTCAAAGTCAAATGTATTTTAGATTTTCCTCAACCTACCACTCTACCTCGCCGATTTTTAGGCATGTTTAACTTTTACAGATGTTTCATACCTAAAGCAGCACATATTCTTTTTCCTTTAATAAAATTGTTAGAAAGGTATATTAATAAAAAGAAATCTCGTTCTCGTGTTCAGGATTCATTCCCACAATTAAATTGGAACGAGAATGCTGAACAAGCCTTTATTGCTGCCAAAAATGCCATTGCTCAGGCTATCCTTTTGAGACACCCTATTCACGGAGCCCAGCTAAGCATCTGGGTAGATGCCTCAGACGTCGCAATAGGCGGCACACTTATGCAATTGTCTCAAGAAACATGGGAACCTATAGCATTTTTCTCTATGAAACTCAATAAAAGTCAACAGAAATGGTCCGCGTACGATAGGGAATTATTTTCAATTTATTCTGCAATTAAGAAATTCCTACACATGTTAGAGGGCAGAAATTTTATCATTTATACGGATCAAAAACCGTTAATATACGCTTTTAAACAGAACCCTCATAAATGTTCACCTCGACAATTGCGCCATTTAGATTTTATTTCTCAGTACTCTACTGCTATTAGGCATGTGCAAGGTTCAAAAAACGTCGTTGCTGACGCTCTTTCAAAAATAGAAATTGATTCCATAACAAAATCTCCATTTTTGGATTTTAAAAAAAATTTGGAAGCTCAACAGCATGATCCGGAGGTACAAGACCTTCTCAAAAACAATACATCATCTTTGAAACTGGAATTTAAACCGTGTCAATATTCTGATGGTAATATTCTTTGTGACATATCAACGAACATTCCTCGTCCATTTGTTCCGAACTTTAATCATCTGCATAATCTGTCACATCCAGGAATTGCAGCTACTACGAAGCTTATTTATTATCGCTATGTATGGCCCAATATGAAACGTCATATCAAAAATTGGGTGAAATTCTGTGAATCTTGCAAAAAATCGAAAATTACTAGGCATACTTAAGCACCACTGGGCACATTCTCTCTTCCTGATGCACGTTTTTCAGAAATCTATATGGATATCGTTGGACCGTTACCACCATCAGATCAATAACTGGACTGAAACACTACCAGTTGTTATGCTTGGTATTCGGACAGCCGTAAAGGAGGATCTACAGTCATCTTGTGCTGATCTGGTGTATGGCACAACTCTCAAGCTGCCTAATGATATGATAACTTCATCAAAGAAATCTCCGTATGACACTCAATTTATCACGAATCTTCGGCATAGAATGTAACAATCAAATCCAATAGCAACATCTGCAGATTGCCAAGAAAAGTGTTACGTAAGTGCTACCTTAAAGTCGTGTACGCATGTATACTTATGTGTCGATCGAGTAAAGCCACCTCTGTGCCAACCATACACAGGTCCACATAAAGTCCTTTCTAGAATGGATAAAACTTTCACAATTGATATTAACGGTCTGAAATCTACTGTGTCTATAGACCGTGTGAAACCAACTTATTTACTTTCGGACTCTAATTTGCCTGAACTGAAAACAAATAAAGACTTAAAGGCAGTTCAGCAGAATAAATCTGCAAACGAACTCTCTAAGACACAAACTGTCACCAGATCGGGAAGGTATGTTCACTTCCCTAAGAAACTCCCTTCTTACATAACAATTTAAAACCTTTTTTTTAATTCATATCGTAACATATTTTTTGTTATTTCATGTTTATTATATGTGTCATTACCTTGTTATATATTTAATTGCATTTTGATCTTTTCTAATTTGATATTCTAATTTTGTAATTATAAAGAAAATACACGACAGTATGGATCCTCTGAGATATTTTCATAACCTGATGTCGTTCCTTTGAATGGCCATCAAAGGAACTGGGGGGGGACTCTATGGTGATGGGAATAAGGAGCGCGCCTTGCGCCCTCCGAAAAAATGTGGCAACCCTAGAGGAAAAGTTTCTTACGAGTACGAGCAGAGCAAGACAGGCCGGCTGTCGGGAAGTATGCACGAAGTTCCGAAATAAAGCTTAATTTTTATTGTGCACTATGTCTAGTTAATATTTATATTAATGCAGTAAGAACATAATCTGTGATATGGAATGCGAGGATTGGTGGTAAAACATATAGGTAACAACATGATAGGACAGAGATTACCATAATGTAATCTCTGTCAATCTCTGTCAGTGGATTTTGCATCTTATCTTATTATATCTCTATATGAATGTATGAATTTAATTCTATGCACTTATGGACTTGCACTTGCCTAATTTTTCCTTTGCAGTTTACAGTCACCAGCTCGAGTCTTTTCAGAGTCTCTTTTTTTCTGGCCATCGTATATGTCTCCATTATGGCGCTAGTATTCCCGTCTTGGTGCCGGAGTGTCTACTGAATCCTTACGCATTCGACTGCAATCGTTGTCGGTTAGTGTCGCCTCTGCTTTGTTCGCTGTGAATGTTTAAAACATGTGCGGCAATACAAAATCCCGCCAGTTGTGAAGTGCAATTAGTGATTAGATTTTCGGTCGCAAAAAACTGAGACCAGTTGAAATTTATAGGAAACTTTGTACGGTGTATGGAAACGACGTAATGAGTGGAGCCGGAGGGAGACAATTGTACATCATGTTTAAAAATGTCCGCACTAATCTTCACAAGGAAGCGTGAAGTGGCCGACAGAGCGTTGTTAATGTTGAATTGATAGAGAAAATCGACGAAAAGATTTACGGAAACCGCCGCTCCACAATTTCACAATTCTCACTAGAGTTTCCTCAAATTTCACAAACTTTGTTGTTTGGTATTGTGACGCAAGATCTAGGCTTTCACAAGTTTTGTGCCAGATGGGTGCCGAAACTCTTGTTCGATGCCCACAAAAAGCAGCTCATGACAGCAGCTAGAATAAAGGTGTCAGTGTTCAAATTTGTTACCAATTCTAGATGTACAGCCTTAACCCTCTGAGCGTTATGACCGGGTTTAGGCGGTCAAGACGGCCTACCTCGAAAGCGTTACGGACGCTTCTAGGCGGTCACTCGAAAAGTGTTCGAAAGCATTACTGACGGTTCTAGGCGGTCAGTGGTGAAGACCTCGAAAGCGTTATGACCGCCTTAAAGCGGCCGTGCAGATGTCCCCTTGCCCCCCTTATTTCTGGAACCATGG